GCGATAAGGTCTCCCCTCAGCCTCCTTTTCTCCAGACTAAACAGCCCCAGCTCCCTCAGCCGCTCCTTGTAAGACTTGTGCTCCAGGCCCCTCACCAGCTTGGTTGCCCTTCTCTGGACACGCTCCAGCATCTCCATGTCTTTCCTGTAGTGAGGGGCCCAAAACTGAACACAGGACTCGAGGTGCAGCCTCACTAGTGCCGAGTACAGGGGAACAATCACCTCCCTGCTCCTGCTGGCCACACTGTTTCTGATACAGGCTAGGGTGCTGTTGGCCACCTTGGCCACCTGGGCCCACTGCTGGCTCATATTCAGCCGGCTGTCGGCCAACACCCCCAGGTCTTTTTCTGCTGGGCAGCTCTCCAGCCACTCTTCCCCAAGCTTGCAGGGTTACATGGGGTTGTTGTGACCCAAGTGCAGGACCCAGGACTTGGCCTTGTTGAACCTCATACAATTGGCCTTGGCCCATCGATCCAGCATGTCCAGATCCCTCCTACCTTCCTACCCTCAAGCAGATCAACACTCCCGCCCAACTTGGTGTTGTCTGCACACTTACTGAGGGTGTACTCGATCACCTCATCCAGATCATTGATAAAGGTATTAAACAGAACTGGCCCCAGTACGGTGCCCTGGGGAACACCACTTGTGACCTGCTGCCAATTGGATTTAACTCCATTCACCACAACCCTTTGGGCTCGTCCATCCAGCTGTTTTTTTACCCAGAGAAGAGTACACTTATCCAAGCAATGAGCTGCCAGCTTCTCGAGGAGTATGCCATGAGAGACAGTGTCAAAGGCCTTGCTGAGGTCGAGGTAGATAACATCCACAGCCTTTCCCTCATCCACTAGGCAGGTCACCTGGTCATAGAAGGAGATCAGGATGGTCAAGCAGGACCTGCCTTTCATAAACCCATGCTAACTCGGCCTGATCCCCTGCTTGTCCTGCACATGCCATGTAAGCGCACTCAAGATGAACTGTTCCATAATCTTTCCCAGCACTGAGGTCAGGCTGACAGGCCCATAGTTCCCCAGATCCTCCCTCTGACCCTTCTTGTAAATGGGAGTCACACTGGCAAGCCTCCAGCCATCTGGGACCTCCCTTGTTGACCAGGAGTGCTGATAAGTGATGGAGAGTGGCTTGGCAAGCACCTCCACCAGCTCCCTTAGTACTCTTGAATGAATCCTGTCAGGTCCCATAGATTTGTGAGTGTCCAGACAGCGTATTAGGTCACTAACTATTTCCTCCTGGATTAAGGGGGATATATTCTGCTCTTTGTCCTTGCCTTCCAGCTCAGGGGGCTGAGTACCCTGAGGATAACTGGTCTCCCTATTAAAGACTGAGGCAAAGAAGGCATTAAGTACCTCGGCCTTTTCCTCATCTTTGGTGGCAATGTTCCCTTCTGTATCCATTAAAGAACAGATATTCTTCTTGGCTCTCTTTTTATTGTTAACATGTTTGTAAAAACGTTTTTTGTTGTCTCTTACGACAGTGGCCAGATTGAGTTCTAGCTGAGCTTTTGCCTTTCTAATTTCCTCTCTGCATGACCTAACAAGATCCGTGTATTCCTCCCAAGTTGTCTGCCCTTTCTTTCAGAGATGATAAAGTCTCCTTTTTTTCTTGAGTCCTACCAAAAGCTCCCTGTTCAGCCAGGCCGGTCGTCTTCCTTGGCGGTTTGTCTTGTGGCACGTGGGAATAGCCTGGTGCTGAGCCATTAAGATTTCCTTCTTAAAGAATGTCCATCCCTCCTGGACCCCTTTGCCCTTCAGGACTGTCTCCCATTATGTTAGGCTTTGACTTAAAGACTCTAGCCAGTGAAAGGGCATTATGTTTGTTTGGCTCATAAACTTTACTAAAAATTACACCTGAGAACATACTGTACTCCCTGTTTGCTGTGAAAATAGCTCTATGAAAATAGCACAAAATGCATGAATATACCAAAAAATCTTGTGTACAACAGGCTAGGTGCACACACATAGATCTAAGTCTGCAAAACTGTACACAGGTCTTAAATCACTATTTTGACTGAAACATATAAGTTCTTAACAAACAAATGAAGCTAAAATTTATAGTTTCCAAAAGGTAGCACAGCTTTCTGTGACCTTCAAAATAAATATAAAGAAGGTCCACATTGGACTGAATTTTACTTTGCTTTTAGGTAGTCAGTTTGGCTTTCTTTGACACACAGAATATAATTTTAGTCCACAATTAATAATCAGGTTAATGAATATTACACAGGCTATCTTTTTGGTGATATTTCATCAAATCTAGAATAAGAAAAATTCCATGTAGGTAGTAACATTTCTTCCATGCTTCTTAATGTCACGTCTCAAAAAATCTGTTCTGCAATTTAGAACCAGCATACTGGGATACTTTGAGTATGACACTTCTTTTATACTTAGCTACTCTTTTTGGTGTTTCTACTGTTTCTGCTTAAAGGAAATACAAAGATAATAAAAACTTTGTTTTGACTAATTTTTTTTAACACTTGGCTTGTGCTTTGCAACTAAATAGACTTAATTTTATTCAGTCTTGATCCTGCAATTGCATCGGT